CAGATGATTGTTTTTTTCATCGTGGAATGAGGAAGATCACCATGTCCTCTCCCCTGGGACAGCACTACCACAAAAGCAGAACAGATGACTGCAGCGATTGTGATAGGAGGGTGTGCGGCAAGGCTATGTGTTGCTATGCAACAGTTCATTACACTGGCACTGAAACAGCTGGTGAAATTACTTATTGAGTTGCATAAAGTTAGTGGAAAAGACGAAGTGGGTTAGCTTCTGGACTGGTAGGGCTTCCTGTATCAAATGAAGTTTTGTGGGGGTGGCTTACTCACTAATCCTAGGCAGGCAGGGACAGGCCTGAGCAAAACAAAAAAAAACGCTACCTCAGAAACTAAATAAACAAAATAATAGAACTAATAAATGTAGAATAATGACTTGCCCACAAGTATTTTACCAAACACAAGAGATTTTAAGTCCTATCCATGAGGAAATAATAATTATTCAGAACAGGACCGTCAAAAGAAAAATCAAGTAAGTAAGCAAAGGCCCAGCCAGTTTAAAGTCCAGTCAAGGCCGCAAATAAAATAAAATAAAAAGTCACTTTGGCTTTGGCATTCCTTGATTCTATATCCTGCCACTTACCATTTGAGTTCATCCTGGTGGTATTGTATACCTCTTTTTGTTTTGCTTCATTCTATTTTATTATGTGTACCGATGATGTTTTGCCTGCATATATGTTTGCGTATCATATGGGTGCCGCGTGCCAGAAAAGGGCATTGGGTCCTCTGAAACTGGAGTTACAGACAGATGTAACTGGAAAAGCAGCCAGTGCTCTAAACCACTGAGCCATCTCTCCTCCCTTTCCTGTTATGTACCTTAATTTTGTGTTGTAGCTTGAATTTCTGAACCCCGTATGTAACTTGGACATTAGACGAACATTAAGTTGTCTGTTTCTTCCTTGTTCATAACCTGATAAAGAACATGCTGGTGAAATGAGATGAGAAAAACTAATACACTCTCAGCTTTGCCACACAGAATGGACATGAAGCCTGTGATGAGCACATCTTGGGAAAATTTAGCAGACCTATTATATTCGTATTTATGCCTTTGTTATCCTATGCTAATAATGAACCTAACAATAGTATTTCCAACCAGGGATGGTGGCACACACCTTTTTAGGCACATACCTTTACAGGCACACACCTCCCAGAACTCAAGAGGTGAGGTAGGAAGATCCCAAGTTTCAGTACAGCCTGGACTACAGAGGGAGACTGATTCCCCCTCCTAAAACAAAAGATTTCCAGAATTATCATAATTATCATTTGGGCCATTATATCTAACTATAACCCTAACTATTCAATAGAAGAATTATTAATAAATCTATCAATAAGACACTAATTACCTTAATCAATATGAGGCCTAGAACTTGCTATGGAGACCAGGCTGGTCTGGAACTCATGGAGATCCATTTTGAATTCTGTCTGGTCTAGAACTTGCTATGGAGACCAGGCTGGTCTGGAACTCATGGAGATCCATTTTGAATTCTGGGGGTAAAGGCATGTGCCACTACACCCAGCTAAGATTAATGTCTGAGGGGCTGATATTTTCCTTCAAATTATAATCAAATTTCAGTAGCTTTATGTATGCTATTTGTAGGACTGGAATGAATACATTATGCTTTCCCATTCAGCACCCTTGAAGTCCCTCAGGAGAGCAGCGAGTAGTCCCTGGCTGCCACTTGCCTTGTTCTCTTTCTAGTATCACCTTTCACCTGCCCATTTTGAAGTTCTTTGAATTCTTTTTGTGATTATTATCAAGCAGCCAGTTGTGGCATGGGTCTCTAATCCCAGCATCTAGGAGATTGGGTAGGAAAATCTTTGCAAGTTGGAGACCAACCTAGTCTACAAAGTAAGAACCTCTCTCATAAAAACAACCTAGGAAAATGGCTCAGCCAATAAGTGCATGCCATACAAGCATGAAGATCTGAGCATGTGTCTGTAAACTAAACAATAGAGAGGCAGAGACAGGAGCTTTGGGGCTTGCAGGCCAGCCGCTCTAGCTGAAGTAGTGAGGAGTTCCAGTTTCAGCAAGAAACTCTGTTTCAAAAAATAAGATAGAGGACAACTGAAAGTGTAGTCTCTCTGTCCTGCCATCCAGCTCCCAAATCACAACACAGAGACTTATTATTAATTATAAAAGTTCAGAGTATAGCTTAGGCTTGTTTCCTAACTAGTTCATATAACTTTTTTTTTTTTTTTTTTAGGTTTCTTTATTTATTATATACAGTGTTCTGTCTGCTTATATGCCTGCAGGCCAGAAGAGGGCACCAGATCTCATTACAGATGGTTGTGAGCCATCATGAGGTTGCTGGGAATTGAACTCAGGTCCTCTGGAAGAGTAGTCAATGCTCTTAACCTCTGAGCCATCTCTCCACCTGCCCTAGTTCTTATAATTTAAATTAACCCATTTCTATTAATCTGTGTCTTGCCATGTGGCTCATGGCTCTCCTCCTGAACATCCTACTTCCTCTGTGTCCAGCTAGCAACTTGGCCCTTTTTCCTAGCATCCTCTGTGCCCCGAAAATCCTACCTAGCTTTGGGCTGTTCAGCTTTTTGTTTGTTTGTTTGTTTGTTTTTGAGACAGGGTTTCTCTGGCTTTTGGAGGCTGTCCTGGAACTAGCTCTTGTAGACCAGGCTGGTCTCGAACTCACAGAGAGAGATCCACCTGCCTCTGCCTCCCGAGTGCTGGGATTAAAGGCGTGCACCACCAATGCCCAGCTTCTTTTTTTGTTTTTTGTTTTGTTTTGTTATGTTTGGTTAGTTGGTTGGTTTTTGTTTTTGAGACAGGGTTTCTCTGTGTAGCTTTGAGCCTCTCCTGGCACTTGCTCTGTTGATCAGGCTGGCCTTTAATTCACACAGATCCACCTGTCTCTGCCTCTGCCTCCCAAGTGCTGGGATTAAAGGCATGTACCTTTATTTTTATAAAGATTTTATTTACTATGTATACAATGTTCTGCCTGCATGTTGCCTGCAGGCCGGAAGAGGGCACCAGATCTCTTTGTAGATGTTTGTGAGCCACCCTGTGGTGCTGGGAATTGAACTCAGGACCTCTGGAAGAGCAGTCAGTGTTCTTAACCTCTGAGCCATCTCTCCAGCCCCTCAGCTTTTTATTAAACCAATCTGAGTACACATCTTCACAGTACAAAATGATTATTCCACAACATGAGGAAACACCCAGCATTGATCTCTGTCTTCACACACACACACACACACACACGAAGGAATGTGTACACACACTACAGATCACAATGAAAAAAATTAGCTAGAAGAAGGTGCAAAAACAAGTTCTATATCCCCTGTGGCAAGTGAGCTTTTGACTCTTTGATATAAATGGCTCTCCATTTGCGTCATCCATCATAATATTATTTTTAACTTTTGGAAATTAGCCTCTTTTAAATCATGCCACACTCATTAAAGCTTTGAAGTGACTGTCTGTACCAGAATAAATTCAGTGAATTATTTGAATAATATTTCCTGTAATCTCAGCAGGAATCCTGAGAGAATGATATTCTTCCTACAGGTTAGCAACCTACAGGACATGGAAAATAAAAGGAAACTAACATGCTGATTTTCATATGAAATAGAAAAATATACAACCGGTGAAAGGTTCTTGAAGGCCACCAAAGAGGAAAGTCTTGGATTTTCAAACTGAAAAATCTATTCAATAGATTTCCAGGAAAAAAGTGTGAAAAGATCCATGCTAACATATACCCAAGTGAAATCTCAAAACTTCAATGGCAAAATTGGTTCTTTGGGAAGCATTAGGAGATATGGCCTTGACTGAGGATGTACGTCACTAGGGGTGGGTGGGCTTTGAGGTTTCAAAAGCCCATCCCACCTCTACCTAGTCTCTGCCTGCTTCCTGTGGATAAAATGTAAGCTCTTGTCAGGTGGGATCTACATAGTGAGTTCTAGGACAGCTTCAGCTATGTAAAGAGACCCAGTCTCAAAAAACAAAACACAAAACAAAACAAAAAAGAGGTAAGTAAGTTCTCAGCCACTGATGTAGTACCATGCCTTGCTTCCCAAAATGATGGTAAGTTGCCTTGGTCATGGTCTCTCTCTCTCTCTCTTTTTTTTTTTTTTTTTTGGTTTTTCAAGACAGAGTTTCTCTCTCGCTCGGTCATGGTCTCTTCACA